ATATTTAAAAAATTAAAATTAAAAATAAAATTATATAATAGGTCCTACTTTTATGGAATATAACTACCCACATTATCTTTTCTTAATTCTAAAAATAAAATAAAAAATAAAAAATAAAACCAATTGGCACATGCGTGAGCATGTGCCAAGGGACTAGTAAATAAGAAAGTAAAAGAACCAACATGTTGACTCATAAGTCTACAAGACTCCTATCCATGTTTTTTTAATACGAGTGATATATATATATATATATTTTTTTCCCAAACAATGAGAGAATATTATTAAAGTCAAATAGTAAGGTTTACATCACTAGTAAAACCTTGAGTACAAGATCAAATGATCTTACAACTTGAGTTTAGAAGCCCCTCGTCTATAAGACTCTATCCTTAGAGCCTCCGCAATAGTGAGGGTCATTTCAATTTTATTTCAATAAATTGAACTTTGACTTGTAGTGGTAAAGTTCAACTCATTTTAGAGATCAATATTTCATTTTAGGAATCAATAGCTCATTTCAAAGGTCAATAAAATGAATTCTGAAAAAAAATTCATTTTAATAAGTTGGCCCACCATCATAACTCTAAAGCCTCTCTCTTATATGGACAACATTACTTTTTACTTTTACATTCAATTAGTGTAAACTAGCCGTTACTTTTTTTTTTTTCCAAAGCAACTTGCCGTTTTTTTATTATTTATTTAACTGTTTTAAAAATAAATAAATAAAACAATATAGTTCATATATATACTAGCCATTACTGAAACAAGGCAGCGCATAAAATTGCGGCCTTTGTGTCTAGAGTTGGCAGTATCTATATTTTGGATAAAATATGGCCTGAGTGGATATTTGATATTCTTGCTAATGATGTAAACCTTACCAATTCGTCTTTAATAATATTCTCTCATCGTTTGGCAAAAAGAAAAAGAAAAAAGAGAGAACGATTTGCGATAGATTTTTTTGGGTAAAAGGATTCAAATGTCATCGTCAATTTCCAATTACCAATCAAATGTAAGTGGGGAAGTAGCATCACTCTTTAATTAATGCAACTGAATAATTGAAAGTGAACTTAATTCTGTACAATTAATTAGGAGTGGACTCGGTCTGGGTTGGTTCGGTTTTGGGTTCAACTCGAACACCTAACCATAGGCCTTGTGACAGGACCCGCCCCAGAATTTCCCCTGAACCCGAGGCGGATCCCGTCTTGGTGCCGACATCACACTGATGCTGGGCCCACTTACTAAAAATCCAAGACATCTTACCAAAATTTTGGCAGAGTCTCCCCAGTAAAATGTTCAAACCCAACAAAACTCAACCTGCATAATTTACATCATAATATATACCAACTGCCAGCATGCTTTTAACATACAACAATCCAACATAAAATGGCCTCCGGCCTCAAGTAGCAACCTAAACATGGGCGATAACAGAGCGTCTACAGAATTTGTTTACAACAAACAGGGGAGTAGAAAGAATTTATACAGACCCTAACAACTGACGACAAGTTCGGAGCTCGTGACTTGCTCGAA